TAATATATATTATGTAATCACTTATCCATACATTGAAATAGGAATAGTACCTCCTCATCATGCTTCAACGTGTGATCTCTTTCTCCACAAACTATTTTTTAAGGGACCGTGTCTTCGTATGTGGTTTTTTTATGCTCGTCTAAAAAAGTCAAAATGTCTGATGGGTTATTTTACCATCCATTGTTCCACGTTTTCCATTTCATGATTTCATGCGTGCTAAGTAAAAGGTAACTTAAGTCTGCTATAAAAATAATTACTAATTATTATAGATAATCCTACGGATTTCTGTAACCAAGCATGAATTCTGATAAAGTAGATTTCCTTTTGTGTCAAGACAAAATCAAGTTATGTATAAGGGTTAATGGGTCATAGTTTATGGTTTCTCGGACTTACATGCATGGTGCAAGTTTCACTCAAGACATCTTCCGTCACAAAACCCTACTCACACCTAAGTGCCTCTGATCTAGGACCATGGTCCATGAACCGTTTTTAGCAAGTACAAATTGGACAATTTATTCAATTTTAATAATACTTTTTCTGTTTCAAAATATATGATGTTTTAGGGATTTATTTTTGTTTCAAAACATAAGATATTTTACTGTATCGCTCAGCTCAAGGACGGCTACATCAGGGGAGATCGGACGAAGCACATTCTAACAAAGTTCTTCTTCACGCATGACTTGCAAAGGGATGGAGAAGTTCGAGTGGTACAAGTTCGATCCAGCGACAACTCAGGCGATCTCCTTACCAAGGCATTACCAGCATCGACATTGAGGAAGCTCACGCATCAAATTGGAATGCGGAGACTTAAGGACTTGCAGGGATGACCAAAACAGGGGGGGTAATACGTGCTGTACTCTTTTTCCTTAACCATGGTTTTGTCCCAATGGGTTTTCTTGGTAAGGTTTTAATGAGGCAGCATCCCCAAGCGTATTACTGAGATCCTTTGGCATCTACACGGTTATGTCATCCAAGGGGGAGTGTTGTAGACCGCATGGTCGGATGGACTCCATAACCGTTGGGCCTAATACATATTCTAGAAGGCCCATGTCCATGTACTAGAAGATTCTCCTTATGACGGTCTATCTTATCTTAGTGGGCTTTTGGGCTTTAGGGTTTACTAGCCCAATGGGGATTTGTCTCCCCTCATCATGTATAAATATGTAACGAAATTCATTCATTAATAATGAATAAGAACAACAAGTTCTATAACAGTCTTTAGATTAAATAGTATACAGGGTTCATTGAATTATCACTTTTATAAGATAAGATTGTATATTTGTATTACATTAACCAAATATATACACAAATTAATTCAGCCAATTTATAAGCATTGGCAGAAAATTTATGGTATAGGACCATAGGTCAGTGGATCTATAGATTAATATATATATATAGTCGCGTTTTTATATGTTGACGCATGTGTAATCACATGTATATGTATGTATGTGTCTATGTGTTTTTGTGACCGGCAAGATGAGTAGGCGAGAGATAATGCATGCCCTACAAATCTTAAATTTCTCACTTTAATTTGTAAGGAAAAAAAAAAGAATTAAAGAAAAATAAATTTTAGTTGCAAACTTGCAATCGACTTACTACTCACTATTGCTTTCTTGATTATGCCCATTGAGTTATCCATTAAACTTTTTAAAGTTAACAGTGTTTTAAGTATAAATTTTAAAATCTATGTTTTTATTTGTAACAGGGACTGAGAAAATAGTTGGGACTGAGCGGAAATCGTATCCAATCAAAAGACAAAAGTCTATTCATATGACACTCTTTGAGCTGAATCAGTTCACTATTTTTGGATCTATATTTCTCTTAAGATGGACATGAGTTCAGCTTCCTATTTTTTAGTGGTTGCATTCTTACGTGATTCCAATCATACATTTCATATTTGGAAAAGTACCCGACTTTAATTATACATGTTATGAGTTTGGAATTTATCTAGAATCTCCTATAGTAAAAATATTTGCACTTTCAGTACATGACACAAATCACTGTTTTTGATTCTGTTTTATTTCAACTTCATCTCTTATTACTTCTAGCCTTGTGAAATAATGTATATTTTCAAAGATATCTATGCGGTTATTATTGGGATTTTTCTTGATATTATCAAGTTATTGAATTCTAAATCTTTCAAATATATAATTGTGTTTAGTTTTAGGTATCCTTTTTCCTCTTAAAGCTCATGTCTATCGGCAAACAAAATAAGAGGTGTAGAGACAAAGGAGGTTGGTATTATTCTTGAGGGAAATAAATAAACGTCAGATGCATGCACGGGACAAAGGTGGATTGTTCTTTACAGGAAAAAATATGCAATTCAAGTGGGAAGTTGGAACATAAGGGAGAGAGAGAGAGAGAGAGAGAGAGATATAGGTTGATTTTGACTCTTGTAATTTGATTATATCTATATATATATCATGATGCTTTAGAACAATTGTCAAGTTACGGCGCCAATTCCATAATACAGCATATGAATAATCTTCACAAACAAAAGTTATTGTGCATAGCAAATGAGCTCGATAACACCTAGTAACATTAGTATTGGTCAACTTGGGACAATTGTGATTCAAATACACATGAATTTTCAATCAAATTACCTAAAAAGAAAGAAATAGTTTTATCCAAAAAAAGAAAAAGAAACAAAAATAAAAGAAGAGAGAAGAATGTCAGTATCACGTGGCTGTCTCTCTGCCCAACACAAATCTCTTCTTCTTCTTCTTCTTCTTCTTCATTCTTCTTTCTTCTCCTAAATCTCCTCTCTCTCTTGTAGATTTGCCGCTTCTCATGGCTTCTTCCACCACTACTCTCTCCGACCTCCCTGACGTCATCTTATCCACCATTTTCTCTCTCGTCTCCGATTCTCGAGCTCGCAACTCTCTCTCCCTCGTCTCCCACAAATTCCTCGCTCTCGAAAGATCCACTCGCTCTCTTCTCACTCTCCGTGGCAACGCTCGTGATCTCTCTCTCGTCCCCGGCTGTTTCCGATCAATCTCACATCTCGATCTCTCTTTCCTCTCTCCATGGGGTCACACTCTTCTCGCTTCTCTCCCTATCGATCACCAGAACCTTCTCGCTCTCCGTCTCAAAATCTGTTTCCCTTCCGTCGTCTCTCTCAACGTTTACTCTCGATCTCCGAGCTCGCTCGAGCTTTTACTTCCTCAATGGCCGAGAATTCGTCACATCAAGCTCCTCCGATGGCATCAACGAGCTTCTCAGATCCCTGTAGGTGGCGATTTTGCTCCTATTTTTGAACACTGTGGTGGTTTCCTTGAGTCTTTAGATCTCTCCGCCTTCTATCACTGGACTGAAGACTTACCTCCGGTTCTTCTCCGGTATGCTGACGTGGCGGCGAGGCTTACACGGTTAGATCTCTTGACGGCGTCTTTCACTGAGGGATACAAATCAAGCGAAATCGTCAGTATCACCAAATCTTGCCCTAATTTGAAGGATTTTCGTGTAGCTTGTACGTTTGATCCGAGATACTTTGAATTCGTCGGAGATGAGACTCTCTCCGCTGTAGCTACCAATTGCCCCAAGTTAACGCATCTCCATATGGTAGACACAGCTTCGTTGGCGAATCCTAGAGCAATTCCAGGTACGGAGGCTGGAGATTCAGCGGTCACGGCGGGGACGCTAATTGAGGTTTTCTCAGGTTTACCGAATCTAGAGGAGCTGGTTCTTGATGTAGGGAAGGATGTGAAGCATAGTGGTGTAGCTTTAGAGGCGTTGAATTCTATATGCAAGAAGCTACGAGCATTGAAGCTAGGACAATTCCAAGGTGTTTGCTCTGCTACAGAGTGGAGGAGGTTCGACGGCGTGGCTTTATGTGGAGGACTGCAGTCGTTGTCGATTAAGAATTCCGGCGATTTGACTGATATGGGTTTGGTGGCTATAGGGAGAGGATGTTGTAAGTTGACTAAGTTTGAGATTCAAGGGTGTGAGAATGTAACAGTGGATGGACTAAGAACAATGGTTAGTCTTCGGAGTAAGACTTTGACTGATGTGAGAATCTCTTGCTGCAAGAATCTTGATGCAACTGCTTCTTTAAAGGCGGTTGAGCCGATTTGTGATCGGATCAAGAAACTGCATATAGACTGTGTGTGGTCTGGTTCAGAGGAGGAGGTAGAAGAAAGAGTGGAAACTAGTGAGGCTAACCACGAGGACGATGATGATGTTTACGAGAGGAGCCAGAAGAGGTGCAAGTATTCATTGGAGGAAGAACACTGCTCAACTAGTGATGGGAATGGATTCTGTTCTGAAGACAGAGTATGGGAGAAACTGGAGTATCTGTCTTTATGGATCAGTGTTGGAGAATTTTTGACGCCATTACCGATGACAGGACTAGATGACTGTCCAAATTTGGAAGAGATTAGGATCAAGATAGAAGGAGATTGCAGAGGTAAACGCAGGCCAGCCGAGCCAGAGTTCGGGTTAAGCTGTCTCGCTCTCTACCCAAAGCTTTCAAAGATGCAGTTAGATTGCGGGGACACAATCGGCTTTGCACTGACCGCACCTCCAATGCAGATGGATTTGAGTTTATGGGAAAGATTCTTCTTGACCGGAATTGGAAGCTTGAGCTTGAGCGAGCTTGATTATTGGCCACCACAGGATAGAGATGTTAACCAGAGGAGTCTCTCGCTTCCTGGAGCAGGTCTGTTACAAGAGTGCCTGACTCTGAGGAAGCTCTTCATCCATGGAACAGCTCATGAGCATTTCATGAACTTTTTGTTGAGAATCCCCAACTTAAGGGATGTACAGCTAAGAGCAGATTATTATCCGGCGCCGGAGAACGATATGAGCACAGAGATGAGAGTTGGTTCCTGTAGCCGATTCGAGGACCAATTGAACAGCCGCAACATCATTGACTGAAACTTAAGAGTGAGTTACCTACACTATTATATCTGTATTGACTTCAGAAACTGGTCCATTTTAAGAGTGTTATATATGTTTGTAAAAGGAAAGAGCAAAGACTGTAATTTCCAAGGATTAATGATATCTTAAAACAAAAAGCGATTTTTATTAATGATAAACTCAATGAAGAAGCCGGAGAGATCTGGAGAACAAACTCAATAAGTTTTTAACAACTAATGCCTCACACAGAAAGAACAAACAACTCACAGAATCAGCAAATCGGAAACTTGCAGGTCTTTAGACGGTGCATTATCTCTTTACAGCTCGGCCTTTGCTCTGGTTCCAACCAACAATCTGTAAAAAGACAAAGTTTCCATAAGCATCTGTTTACTAAAAAACTTTAAAGGGTTCCAAGAGAAAACAACAGTGAGTTTTTGAAGAGTCACAAACCTGCAATAAGCTGGCGTAGTGGTCCTTCAGGTAATGTGAGCCGGGCTCCTTCATTTGCAACGATATGAATGACCTGAAAGCAAAAATTGCAAGAACCGGGTTAAGATTCGATGTTTTTGTTTAGTTACCAAGTGTTGTTCTTGTTCAACGAACTTACTTTTTCTTTTGGGACTCCTTTCCAGGGCTGGGATAGAGTGCAAAGCTCCCACATTATAACACCAAAGCTAAAGATGTCACATTTTTCTGTGACTGGTTCATTGCGGATAAGTTCAGGAGCCATCCACTCAGGAGTTCCTGCAGCTTCAGTATCTTCCACTGTCGTGCCATTCTTCATTCTCGAGAGCCCAAAATCACAGATCTTGACTATCCCCTTGTTTAACAGGCAGTTTGCACTCTTTAGATCACGGTGGACTATCCCCATCTGGTGAATGCCCATCAAACCTCTTTGAAACACAAAAAAATACAAATGATTATGAGAACTGGCACTGTTTCTACGTTTTGTTATGTCAAAAAGAGACGGTGTGAATCTTGAGCCCTATGAGAACTTGGTGATCAAATCTATGGAGTGTCTCTAGAGAGCTCTGATAATAACTATAAGGGGCTAATATAGCGAAAATCTAAACGGGAAGAATTAAGTGTAGAAATGAAACACCTGCAAATGTCACTCAGAATCTTTAGTTTCCTTTCCCAGCTTAACCCCTTTTTTCTGGTACGGAGGATATCATACAAGGACCCCCTATTCATATACTCTGTGATCATTGATAACTGAGGAGGCTTTGTGCATGCTCCAAGGAACAGAATAACTACAAGATGTCATGAGATTCCTCGTTACTCGAAAAATGATATTAAAATCTTACAAATTCACCACCTGAGGATCGTTGGACAAGTAATCAAAGCAAAACAATAAATAGATGATTTTACCATTGGGATGTCGAAGACGGCTGCACAGAAGATAAGACAGGAAGAAAGGTGAGAAGATAAGTTGAAGAGGCACAGCAAAAAATTAAAGGACACATACCTAAGAATAGATATCTCATTGCAGAAATCTTTCATGTTCTCAGCTGTAAGCTGTTGTCCAAAAAGCATCTTGATCGCAACTTCTGTTTTATTCCAGATGCCACGACATACTACTCCAGAAGATCCTGAATGACATATACAGCAAAAAAAGAGTTAACTGGGTTTCAGAGGAAAAAGTATATTTATGCTCACAGACCATATCCAAGTTTTCTTGCTGAAGATCTATGGCTAATACAACAGATAGATGGAATTCAAAAACACTCCAAAAACCATTCTTACCACTCCCAACAAAAGCCCCAACTGTCAAATCGGAGAAATTTATGTTCCATTGTTCATATGGTAACAAAGGATTATTCTGGAACATTGGAGATTCCAGCACTTCATTCCAAATTTGGCTTATTTTTTTACGTGAAGGTTCACTCCTTTCAGATGGTTGGATTTGATAGCTTCGGGGAGATGATGGAAATGATATTGCCTTCTGCCGATTTAGTGTTGACCTTTCACCAGACACTTGGTCATGGGAATCAAGCTGGAAACTAGACACCTAGAAGCAAACAAAAGCCCTTATAAGGAAATTTAGTAAACGTTTCTGAGATATCCATAGTCTTCTCACAAAGATTTTCTTCTTACAACATAGAACCATATCCCATAATTTTCTCAAACAAAGAATCAAAACACCAGCACTTTCCCTATTCCTCTTTCTAATATCATGAACTGTCATCTCAATTTAGGCGAAGAGAAAATATACAGAATGTGTTCTGTAGTTCACAGCTACCAACATAGCTGCCAAATATATCATAAATATTTCAATGACGCATATATCAAGAAGTTTATATATCGATATCAGAATTCAGGAAAACTGTTACATACATCATCTGGAGAGCAAGGAGATGAATCATCATCACCTCGCTCTTTCAAGAAGTCTCTCTGCATCATTAGCTCTACTGCCCTGAAACAGATTGTCAAGTTTACTTTAAGCAAAACATATGATAAAACCATTCAAATATTAGTGACAACAACAGCCGATATACAAACTTTCAGTACCATATGTGGACGTCTGTACAGGATGCAAGCAAATGCTAGTTTATTTAGTTATATTATGTGGTGCTCAAGATTTCAGAAAGATAATAACGCAAGATCTTTGCCTATTTTCTATGTTTTATAATTTCAATAAAAAATTGTATCGCCAGTTTATAGGCTCGTGTTCACAATAAAAAAAATAAATGACAGCAACCTTATTCGGCAACATAATGATGACTGTGAACACTTTTTTTTTTTTTGTGTTATAAAACAAACACTTGCCTGGAAACGTCAGCGTTGAGATCAGGAGTCTTCATACGCCTTCTCCTTATTCTCTTACTTTCTGATTCCGCTCCTCCATCTGAGTTACAGCTGTACATACAAACTGAAAACATCAGCCTTTTTAACGCATTACAACCAATTTTTTCAGCCAAAACGTTATTGTAAGCCAGACACTAATGACTAATAAAATACCACGAACTTTTGCAGCTATAAACTAAATATATGCTTTTGAAGCAAACTCATCAATTGCAGTACATATAGAGTTCACCTCATCTGATTGTTAAGCGAAATACTCTCACAACTTAATTCATAGCTCTTGCATTGCAGTTGACTAGAATGGACTTTAATGGTTACCATATTTCACCTTTTATCAATAAAGACAGTCGACAGAATTGGAGGGAACATGAGGACAACAAAGTTTTAAGAGAGAAGTAGCATGGAATCTATATACAAACACTTAGCATTGAAGAAGTTTATCAAAACCACACCACTGTTGAAAGGAAATATATATTGACAAACAGTATAACCTGAAATCAGCAGGTGGCTGTTCCTTGATGACCTTTCTCCAAAAAAATTCAGTAGCTATGTTTGGCGCGCTTAGTGAACGACTGAGAAAACAACAAAAACACCAAAAGTTACTTTCATACGTGCATAACGCTTTTGCTTGGCCTATATAGGAACATAAGATATATATATAAATACACCAGAGGTAGCAAATATACAAACATAATCAAGAAAACTAAACAAGTATGCTTATCACCTTAAACCGGATTGTAATACAGATGGTGGACAAGACCGTTCCATGGGACTGTTTGGCTCCAATGGTGAAACACAAGAGTCATTGTCTACAAAATCAGTCTGCCATGCCGTTGAGATATGAGCCATATAAACTGCCTTGGGTGAGAAGGGTGTAAGCTGACCAGGACATCGCTTAAGGTCGACCAGCATTTCCACATTATTGTGCTCAACCACAACAGACATATGATTACATGAGTCGACACTAGCAGAAGATCTCAGATCACTAGGGAAACCCTGATCAAGAAATTTAACGAAATGCCAAGTTCTCAGAACCAACCAATGACATGTGGAAATTGGAGTTATACACAGCCACTGATCACAGTTTTATACAGTACATACCACTACAAGCTTACTTTCAAGACCAACAGCATCAGCTAGAACTTTAAAGAGGATTGCTCTAGCACGACAAGAACCATGTTTGATTTTTCCTAGCAGTGGAAATCCATGAATTTGAAATGATCGCACTGTTCTTGCCGGACTCTGCAGAGGAGTTTTTATTCTATATACATCTGCCACCTGCCATAAGAAGGAAAATTCCCATTAAGATTTCCCGATATCGAAAAGAGTATAATGAGGTTTATTAAATAATGTGCTGTGCCCTAAAGAATCTACTAAATGAGATTAAAGCTATTTGTTTTCTTATTTAGAACCAAATATTTATTGCATGCAGCGATAAGATAAAGTAACAAAATGATATGCATTGTAGCCAAAGTTAGTTCACTAGCAAAAGAGATGATAAATACTGCTAGCCCATTCTTACCATTACAGCAGTTTTCTTGATAACTTCCTTTGAGTCCTTTCCTTTGACAGATTTGATGAAAAACTCCATTATCATAACAAGCTGTATATCGTTCTTAAGATCTACACAAATCGCATCAGCCTTAAAACGTTCTTTCCCCAGCGCATTAATTACTTCCATTGTAGGAATGCTTTTAAAAAGCTGCAATCTATCAACCTGTTGAAAAATTTAACAACATAATAAGATAAGAAAATGATAGTTGACAAACAGTAGCACGTAACCAAGTATTAATAAAGCTAACTGAAGTATTATTGGACAAAGATAATATCAACCTAAAGATAGCTTACCGGGATCACAGAGTAAAAACCACTAGGGATTGGGTCAGAAAAGAACCCAGTACTCCAAAGAATATTCGATGCTTCATAACTTGACAGCCGATCTTGAACAAGATTTTTGGGTGATTCTTTAGTATTAGAGGTTTCTCCCACACATACAGACTTGGATATCTCCTCAACTTGTGAAGGCCTCAAGGTAGGACTTGGTGGATTTGGTTCTGATGGTCCAGCAACATCTCTTGTCTCTTCCACAGTCACCTCCCTAAGGTCTAAAATCACATGAGCGTCTCCTTAGCCCATAGGGTTCACTCAAGAAAAGACGAAAAAACATAGATACCAGAATATTTAGAATCAAACTTCGCTTACCAGTAGCTTGGACCTCTAGGTCAGCAGTAGCTTGGACCTCTATGTCAGCTAACCTGCATAGGCAAAAACAGAATGGTTAAGTAAATAAAATCCTCAATACTTCCTCTTTGATATCTTGTTGCATAAAAAATGCATCTTTCAGTAACATACTAAGTTGCATTCCATATATTCCTTATCAAAGCTTTTAATGAGTAGATAATTCTCAAAGACTGCCTATAAAAACTTGTTCAAAGTGTTGAGCTTTAACAATACAGCATCAAAACCTACGTCAAGGCGGTGGAATTGTGAACCGATTCAACTGATCCTTGGCAACATTTGCAACAGTTAGCTCCCATTTCCAATTCCTCGGTTGCAAAAGTTCCAAATTCCTGCATAATCTACCCATTTCAAAGAAAAGTCCCACCAACTTCGACCACAAAGATGGATTCAAAGTAAATTCCAGACGATAAGGCTAAATAGCAAAAGACGAATAAGGGTTTATGAAAAATCTCACAGAGAGAGAAGCTCAACGACCTCCCAACTCCAAATTCCAACAATCAATATGCTTAAATCGTACTGCGAAACAGGATAAAGACAAAAGAGAGAATTGAAGATAGCCATGATCAAGCAACAAAAAGCCATACGTACACACACATAGAGTATGTGTACGTATATGCATAGATATTTGCAACAGAGATTCATGAGAAAAATTGAATTTTTTGGAGGTTTTGATTTTGATGGCGGAAGAAGCTAAAAAAACACAGTCGGAAAGTGGAGCCAAAGAGAAGTGGAGAAGCAAGTCACGTGCGAGATTATTAGTCACGTGCCGAGAAGCACTTATCCCCCACATGATGTTTTATTAGAACAATTTTGTCAGCTACATAAACACCTACATGGATTGTTTTTGTCATCCATTTCATCTTAACATCTTTGAGATAGATATGAATTACAATATATTATCAGATTGTTCATATATATGAGATAGATTTTTTTAAAAAAGAGGATGATGTAAATGAAAAAGAATCTAAGAAGAGTTTGACAAAAATGAGGATGAACTTTTTTTTTGAAAAGAGTAGTTGAGGAGAAAACTCAAGCCTCAGGATGTTGTATAGAAATTCAATCTTCGAAAAAGATTGCAATAAGAATGATTCGAGAGAATTCATCATCTTACATCAATATTGATGTTGATTATGATACTTACACGTTAACAACAACAACAACATATCATCATAGTTTTGGCAGCGCCGCTATTTCTTTGTCTCTCAAGAACCTTACACTGCAGTTATATTTAGATTTCTATCATATACTCTCTCTCAGTGAACTCAATAAGATATCACACAGGATTAACAAAAAAATTCCCTTCATTTATATAGCACTTTACATAAAAGGAACGTATGAGACTTTTCTTTTATTATCTAAAAATTTACATTTTCAATTAATGTAATTATTATTTCTTAATAAATAAATATTGGTTTTTATAGTTTAAATAGCTAAAAGAGGAATAAAACATTTTGCGAAAGGAATAAAAAGTTGAAAATAAAGAATAAAATTTTTATTAGTGATTTTATATTGTCCAGGTGTATAATTTAATACTTTGCATATAAAATTACATATAGTAAAATTAACATAAAATTTATTAGGTAAGTATGGTGATTATGGTTTTAGGGAAGTATGGTAAATGACAACCAAATATTACCACATACTCATATTTTATATAATTTAATTTCATGTTTTAAATTTATATTTAATAAAGTTTCATTTACATGAAATAGAAAAGATTTCTTGAATTGATAGAATACCCTCTTTTGTCAAAATTTCCTATATCTTAAATCTTAGCAATTTATCATCTTCAGAAAATCTTCCATGCAAAATATGTGGACAATTTATAAAACAACATAAGTAAGCCCATTAACTAATATTATGGGCCTTTAGAAATCCAAAACAAACTCGATTTAAAGTCTTCGTCCTCCCTAAAACCCTGAATCTTCACAGAACCCTAAATAACTTTTAGTTTCCTCCGACCACCGCAGCTCAGCCGCAGCCGCCACCACAACTACCGGAGCAGTTAGCTACTCCGTCACTAATGTCAAGAGTAAGTCCCAAGACCGTGGACGATGCAGTTAAGGCTCTGGTCAAAGAGGGAAACAAAAAATCAAAGACGGAGAAGCCACACCTTCTAGAGGAAGATGAATTCTTTTACCTAGTCGTAGCCCTAAAGAAGATTCCACAGAGGAATTTTACTAACGCTTATCGTATTCCTCTCCCGCATCCGCTTATTAGCACTACGGAAGACTCACCGGAGCTCTGTCTTATCATCGACGATAGATCGGAAAGTGGTCTCACCAAGGAAGATGCGATGAAGAAGATCAAATTAGAGAACATACCAATCACTAAAGTTGTTAAGGTTTCGGAGCTGAAATCGGATTATGGATCATTCGAATCGAAACGGAAGCTTTGTGATTCATACGATATGTTTTTCTCTGATCGGAGAGTGATTCCTCTGTTACCGAGATTGATTGGGAAGAATTTTTTTCTAAGGAAGAAGATTCCTGTGGCGATTGATTTGAAGCATAGGAATTGGAAAGAGCAGATTGAGAAAGCTTGTGGTGCTGCTATGTTCTTCATGAGGACTGGGACTTGTAGTGTGATCAAAGTTGCGAAATTGTCGATGGAAAGCGATGAAATCGCTGAGAATGTGATGGCGACTTTGAATGGAGTTGTTGATGTTTTGCCTAGTAAGTGGAAATATATAAGATCTTTGCATTTGAAGTTATCTGAGAGTTTAGCTTTGCCTCTATATCAGACAGTTCCATATTTGAAGCTCAAGATCGATCCTTCTGGTGTTGAAGAAGTTAGGAATGGTGAAGAATTAGTTAAAAGTGATGATGTTGATGATAGTAGTAAGAGTGTGAAGACAAAGAAGAAGAAAGGAAGGATTCATGAAGTTAGATATATGGATAGTAATGTATCTGAGACTCTTGGTGAAGATAAAATCGAAAAGAATGTTGAACAAGATGAGGTTACTGGTGATCTCAAAGGTTCAGGGGATAAGAAGAAGAGGAAGAAGATGACTAGTAGTAAGTCTGCAGTGAGTGAGAAACCAGACATTGTGAAGAGTAAGAATGGGCAAAAGTCGAAAAAGCTAAAGAATGACATTGATGGGTCTGGTGGTGGATTGAAAGCAAAGACTAAGAGGAGATGAACCAAGAAAAGAAGATTTTCGTTTAATGTCGGTATAACTAAGTATTCTATTCTTTCTGCTTGAGTGATTTTTTGGATACTGATTATGACTTTGTCTTATCAAGGTATCATCAAAATGATTCTTATACTAATACATTTAGGACTTTTATTATCGTTTACTATTTCATCAAACTAGTGACTTGCCATGTAGTTGTTTTGGTGGTGTTGAGGAGGAAACATCTTATTACATGTGTTTTGTTGCATCCTAGAATTGGTGTTGTATCGAATGATTCTGATTTTTTCCTAAGAATACAACCTCAAAGAAAAGTACTTACAGGATCTGAATCAAGCCTGAGCCAGATCCTGGCTAAGTACTCATCCCAAGAAACGGGTAAGGAAAACAGAAGCCTCTACTCTTGAATCTCTTTTAATGTTAAACTTCATCTCTCTACTATGTCGGATGGTGCTATGTTACGGTCTCCTGATGATGTCGAGAACAGAGAGAGCGAGAGCATTGTGTTGATATCATCTGTTGGTTTTTGCCTGCAATTTCCAAACTCAGGTAACTGTATCCCACCTCCAGACATTGATTTCAATCGTTTGACTGATGATACTTCTTCATCTCGGACTCTTTTCTCATTGATCGTCTTCCTAATCTGCATAAGATTTCATCAAGATTACAATATCTTTCATTGTTTTTACCAAAACTGTTCCTCTATAACTCTTAAACCGAAAAGAAGGCAGAAGTTACCTCGAGCAGAGGCAGAGTCTTGTTCTCTGTGCTATCTTGATCATTTCTGCATAACCCGCTAAACCAGCTCGAAGGTCGCGTAAGAAAGTTACCTCCAAGATTTGTAATGACCGCGTCTTGATTGAGTACCCTACAGAAAAGAATGCATTTATAACTTCCTTGGTCGGATCTACAAATCTGAAACATTTTAGTAACTGGAACTTGTCTCAATGTATGACCTCGAAGGAACGGTTTTAGAGTTATAGGCATGTCTTAAATCGCCATAAGGGATACATCGAGAGTCGATCATGTCAATCAAATAGCTTCTTTGTCCACTCATGAAAGCTCCAAATCCTGTTCAAAAGTCATTTCCATCAATGGAAATCAAACGTAGTGAAGGAATGATAAATGTCTGCAGATCAAAACTTTACATACCATGGCGAGATGATGGCTCGAGCTTCTTACTTCGATACATCTTGAAATCAGAAACATGAAAACATTGAAAAAGAAGAACAAAACTGAGATTATCTTAGAGAAACAGACGATGAGATTATGGTGTGAACCTGTAAATGACTCTTGACATGTGCAATACTCAATCCTTTCAGATTCATCATCTCAAGAACCAATTTCGGCGTCGCTCCTTTAATTAAAATCATACAACAGTTACATTACAAAGCCGAGAGAGAAATTAAAGAGCAAAAAATAGAGGTGGAGAGAGAGAAAGAATCGTACTGTCTGGACCGCCTAGTCGTTGGACTGCACGAACGAAGGAGAGATGAAGATCAGGCGTCCAACGAAGCCGAGGCATGTTGGACCGAACATACTGTCTAACGTTGTTACTACTCGTGACTTGCTCTTCGTCTTCAACTGATGACTCTTCTTCATTGTTCTTCTCCACCGTCTCTTCTCTGTTCAGGTCAAGCCACATGGAGCATTTTCCCGGCGAAGAAGTCCCGGCCATGTCTCTCCGGCGAGAGTGCCTTTAGATAGCTGTCGAGATCAATTACTCAAACAAACAAACAAAAAAAACCATGAGAAAGGTTAAATCTCAAGTTATATATGTATAGTCATCTCTCTCTGTGATAATTTGGGCGTTGGGTTCAATAATACTAGCTATGGTCTTATAAACAGACACTTATAAGCATTATTGTATAGTCTTCTTATTTGTCATTAACTATGATATATGTAGACATATATATTCAGATCTATGTCATGCATGTTTACGTGTAAGTGTATGTGTTTTTTATGGAAAAGTGTGTTGGAATCTTCCGTTTGGTGAAATCACATTAGTTATTAGGTTTTGCTTCATTTTTGTTAACATACCAGAAAAATATCCGTTTGTTCTTTTAATGACAAAGACATATAAACTTATCGCCTTTACTTCTTAAAAATAATTTCCCTCTTTTAACAAGATTTGAATATATGGTGAGTGTTAAATATGAATTCAGATTCCAAAAACTATATCATTATAACAAAAAAACTCTGCTGTTACCTAACATGCCTTTCATATATCATGTGATAATGCCTAAGCTATTTAAATTGGTTAATTAATCACATATTTGATATCACGAATCTTGGTTTAAATAGTCATGTATATGTGTATATACAATTGGCAGTCGAATATTTGTGTCATTAGAATTGTAGTTTTGTGAATGATGTATTAAACATTTCAATCCGACCAAACCACCCTTGTCTGTAACAATTTTTTCTTTAATATCAATTAAGTTGACCTTTGCCGGAGACTACGCTATACCCTTTTGTCATATTAGACCACTTTTTTTAGTTTCTCCAAAACAACTTAAAATAAAAGATCAGATTAGCATTATCAAATGGAATATGCGAACTATCGATCTAATCCGATTGATTATTCGAACCCTGATAGACAAGAAGTACAAATTATTGTCTACCTCAGCCGATTACAATGTGGAGGAATTAATGAAACGTTTATACGCAATTTTTACATCGTGACTATTATTGACCTATATTCATTTTTTTCTCATATACTTAGGTTAAATAGATGACGGTCTTCAATCCCAACGCTTGCAAACAAAACTTAATGGTAAATTTAAGAGAGAAGGGAGTTTTGTCAAATGGTTAAGGATGTGATTCCCAAAGATTCTTCAGTTCACGTATGTACAAAAACAGAAGTTGTCTTTATCTTTTTGGTTTTATTATTGGTGACCCTTTTCAATGGGCATTGGGTAACACACCTCCTTATACTATTTCATTTCTCTTCGAAATTGGGTAACTATATGTTTTTGTAGGGCTTAACAAAGAATCCGTATATAATTCGAGAGAGGTTACCTAATTGATAGTTAAGCGTGTGTGTATATATATTGTCTTCGATTGCCATTTTGATTATTCAAAAGCAACGTAACATTCTTTCTAGAGTGCAATTTATGTCTTTATTGTCATTTTGTGAATTGAATTAGAATTTTTAGAGATAATAAGTTGTCGTTAATCATAAATAATAAATTTCAAAGCAAGATAAATAAGTAGTACAAACACTTTTTACAAAGTTTAACCAAGTTTCATGTGAAATTAATAAGGACCTCAAACCCTACACCAAATTAATTATAAACCGTCCCGATGCAATTTTCCGACACTCTATGTCTATGCACACACATATCTATACAAGCATTTTGGAACATATATGAAAAACGCAATGGGATCAAATTTCAACGATCGTAGTCATATCATATGTATATATATACACAACTTGTATTTTATAGAATTTATATGAAGACTTTTACATGGATCTTCAAATATATATAGGGCTATAGACAGATAGAGAGAGAAAGAAAGAGAGGAGGGGATAGGAGAGAGAAGAGAAGAGAGGACAAATATTCGAAGTAATTAATTAATTAAGAGTGAAGCGAGCATTCATGGGAGAGAAGGAATCGTAGAGACTCATGTGGGCACTAATAAAGATGAGGAAACTTTGTTTTGTCCTAACTTATTTACGTACCGACACTTCATTCACAATTCCCCCATTTCCCATGCTCTCTTTTATGGAATATATATAACTTCAAATTGTTTTAATAGTTCTTGATTATCTTTAATCGACATGAATTTCATTGGTTAAGAGAATCTTTTGTCGATCGAATTCTTCTACTTCTTCCCAAGAAAATTCCTTTTTTTCCATTTCAGAGGATTTCTTTTCATGCATTCAATGACGTTTTATATGTACAAACCTTTTTTTTCCTGACAAAAAATATAACAACTGTTTCCCTAGAGGACGTTTTATATGTACAAAACCATTTTTAAATGTAAAAAAGGACGTTGATCCAGTTGATATATTTATTTATTATGCATGCAAGAAGCTAAAAAAATTCTGCATGTTGCCCTAAAGAATCGCCGCAAAATAAGGCACCGTCTTTGAATTATTCCTCATCACATGCCTACGTATCTTTACCCAGGACCATGATTATTAGCTTCAATTTTCTTTTCTCACATTTATAAATTAATTTGGAGATGGAGTTTTATTTATAACACTCATAAGAAATATTTAAAATGCATTAATATAGAGTAACAAATTAACAATGTAACATTGGTTTCTCTTCCAAGTTGTTTCCATGCTTACTTTTGTTGTGGCTAGCTAGAAAGGCGGTTGGGATCAAAGGGTATCCACACCTCAATGAGCATGTTAAACATTTTATGTCTCAAAGACTCGTCCATTTCAACCATGATTACCCCGAAATGCTTTATTTATTCTATTATAATCTTGGTCTTTGGGACTAGGTCTAGTTTAGGGACCATATCAATGTTTGGTTGTTAAACATTTTGTTTTCTTTATAACCAAAGAATCTGGACCGAAATCTAGACTATTCTCAAGACATGTAAAAATTCGGATATTCTTACCATTTAAACGTCCATAGTATTGAAATCGCAATGAATTTTTTTTTGGATCTTAGTCCCTAAACCCATGCTTCAAGTTCAATTACTTAACCACTACGAATTGGTTTGGTTGTTCAACATCATTACTTCAAGTTCATCATCATAATTAATCGATAGTCCTGATTTCTTCATGAGAACCGTATGGGAAAAAGTGGAGAGCTAATTTATCTAATGACAAAAAAATAACGAGGAATTAAATTTCATTGAAATGGTAGAGGGAGATGTAATTTAGTCTTACGTAGTAGGCGGAATTTGATTAGTATTAGGTCAATTTTGCTTTTTAAGACACTAATTAAGATCACACATCCCATGAACTTTTATTTTCCGAATCAATCCCAACTTTGTTATCAACTTCACAACCTAGAAAGCGTATCGGGGCAACTTTTATGCTGGTGTGACCTTTATGGAAGGTTTTTTTATCATATATAAAGAAGATACACAACTACGCAAAACGAAGATTGAGGATTTTGATAAGATAAAAAAATGCCACTAGAGAGTCTACTAGTAATGTCTAGTACCGAAGACTAAAACCATTAGAAATCTTTTGCAATATAATGAAACGGAGACACACGGTGTATCACAAATTAGTATGTACAATCCCGTTTGCAATATAAAAGACCCCCAAATTATTTCCGAAAGGAATATAAATAATAATAAATAAATATCCCAAGCCGCCCAAATTATGTGATAGATTATCGTCAAGTTCTAATAACAGGACCTCTGTACGGAACTCGTCGTATCACAAAGTCATCAGGCGGTTGAAATTCCTCAAGCCAAGTCACCTCTGTGACCACTTCTCCATTCACTTCTACTTCACCTGCTCCGTTTCACAATCCAAATCAAAATCATTAAAGTAGAATCTAGTATGGTCTTGGGATCAGGTTTTTGGGGACCGAGAATTGTGTGTTTTGGGGGGGAGCTTAGTTGTCTTACCTGGTAAGTCTTCTCTTCTGGATTTCCGGAAGTAGGTGCAATGCCGATCATGCTCTGAAGAGTAAGGTGGAGCTAAGATGTCAAGAACAGCACAATGGGTGATGGCTTTGAAACAATGAATGTTGCCACCACTTTTCGGATATAATGTTGTTGCTGGGCTTGGAGCTGTCATCTCAGTATCCTTCACCAGTTTAGCGGGTCTTGCTGCTTATGAATCAAAGAGTTTATATATAATTAGACCAGAAGAGTGATCATTAGTTAAAAAACTGAGAGAGTAAGAGAAAGACCACGGTTACCTTGTGATGGATCATCTGGTTCGGTCAGTTCAGGCTCTAGCCAATCATATGACTTCACGTGCATTGAACCATAAACGAGCTTGCTTAGCACGGTCATGCCCGGATGGTTATGAAGAGGTATCATAGAGGAAGGTGGCATACAGAAAATTCCTATCTGTATTGACAACAGAGGCAAAATGAACCAACTGAGAAATAACATTGGTGGCAATATCAGGAAGATAAAACACCCAACTAGAGACAGACTCAGAATTGACTCGAACTGTGTTTACTCATACTTTCTAGATCATTTGTCATAGGCTTTTGCAGACTCCAGGCTCATGGCTTGAATGATGGGTTCCTGAGATTCTCTCAAAGACCATGTTTGGATGCCCCCCTATTCCCCTAATTTCGAATATCCGGGAAAAAAAGAATATTAAATATCAACTAAATTGTCTCAGGCTATCGAGCATTGAACCTTTTATCTCTACTGAAAGTTCGGGTTTTGCATATTATTCCAAGCAGATGCAATCCTATTTAAACCAAAATTAGAATGGGACTCTTATGCTACGTTCTATCTAAACAAGATCACATAAGATGCACCATTTCAACCCCACCCACATTTGACTCTCTTGTAGTAGCTATCAGTAATCATAACTAACTTTTAAGACTAATCAGCCATAGAGTTTTCAAATCAGTAAGCTTACAGAGAAACTGTCACACTCATGCAAATGAAGATACTTTATTGCTGGGGGAGACTGATGACTTCCATTGCGTTCATTGAGAGGACCAGACCTGGTCCGTGCCAATTGAGCTTCCTGCTCGATTCCAACATCAGATGGCTTGATTTTCTCTGAAACATAGATCACAAATAAGGGTGTAAGTGCAACAGGGGACCACTGCATTTAAGAATAAAGTGAAGTGAGATATATATGATTACTGCCACCAACACCCTTAACAAATACACTCATATAAGGTAATTTGGAGAATGATCAGATAAACGAATTCACATGTTGTGGGCCAAACAATTCATAAAAAAAGTCATTGTCACAAGCACTCAAAAAGATAACAATCATAAGCCAAAAACCAGATGACTGAAACCACCGGACAAAGACTGAACAATATGTGCGTATGTATAATCATACCCAAGACATTGCGAACCTTCTCCAGAGCCTCGTCTGATATTGGTGCGTCTGAAGAGAAAGACGCCTTGCAAGTATTGTAAAGCCTCTGAGCAAAGTAAGGCATGATCTGAATCCAATTCCAAAATCCTCAGGCTAACGAAGCTATGTAACAGATGAAAAGAGCCGTTCAAAGTTTTCTAACAAACAACTGATGCTACTAAAACTTCATGACTTATAACCATTTCCTTCTTCTACAACATAGAAACATTTTCCCCTGAAACAAGTCAAAAGAAAAACAAATGTATGATTTTCAACAAATTCTTACTTACCATGAGAATTATTATCAAAACAAATGCGACTACAATGAGCATCTTGCACAGGGGCACTGAATCACGAAAACAAACTTGGAAATTCAGAACATCAAAACGTTCACCATTTCGGTTTTAAAACTACAGATATAATCGAATTGAACAATATAATCAGCAATTTTTAAAGCATTTTGCATCCAATAAGCTTAAGAAACTCACAGATGAAGGACGTGTTATCTAACTCAATACAATATTCGAGCTCAAATCGGAGATTCGATTTTCTCAAAATAACCAGAAATAACGAATGCGTCGGGAGTTAAAACGGCAAGCCAAAGAGCAAAAAATCAAACGAAACTGAATCAAAAAGGAGGAGAAAGAAACCTTAGGTGAGAGTGGTTGCGTAAGATCCGGAAGAAATAGAATCAATCTCGGTAGAAGAAGAAGAAAGAAGAAGAAGAAGTAATTTTTTTTTTTTTTTAATAAGTAAAAAAGAGTAAAAAAATTAAAAGAGGATCCAATATTCTTAATTGTGTTGCCATATGTGCCACGAGATATTTCTTCTCAACTTGGACCCATTTACTCATTTACTAAATCACCCCTTGAAAACTGAAATAGCAAAATAAACGCCACACCAAATCTAATACCAACAAAAACTTCTTGGTCATCTTTTTTCATAAATACACACATACAAACACACCATTCATGTGGATATGGTTTTAGTTCTCATTCTATTGATCAATTCCAATATAAGAAGAAAACAGTTTTAATGATTGCGGCGGATACAATGAACAAAACTATTTGCAGATTATATAAACCATTTCTTGTTGACTATTTATAAGTTGTAATATGTAGTAGTAGTACAGATGAATTAAAGTGATTATTTTTTACCGTAAATCAATTATATATCGTTTTTGTAAATTTAGTTAAGGTAAATTGTTGTTTGCTCTAAAAATTTTTTTTTACCTTCAACATTTTTTTTTTGGTACCCATTTAAATTTTTTATATTCATGTCAAGTATATGAATATAGTACAAAAGATGATGAGTGATATACTTGAAAATACAAATATATGACATATAGTTTACATTGGTGAGAAAAATTGAAATAAAAATTTTGATAGTGCCTTTTTCTAGATTCTTTAGATAAAAAGGTCACATGGAAAGGTTTATGTAATTTTGTTAAACCAATTCCTATCTTTGAAAATAAATAAAAAAAATCAAAAACCAATTCCTATCTTTTCATTTTTATCAGTTCGTTCACCTACAGAGAAAGAAACCCTAGATTTTGTCAAAAGGCGGTTGCAGAACAAAAAAAAAACCTTTGAGACGAAACCATGGCAGGAGTTGGACCGATGACTCAGGATTGGGAGCCGGTGGTGATCCGTAAGAAAGCCCCTAACTCCGCCGCCAAGCGTGACGACAAAACTGTCAACGCCGCTCGCCGAGCCGGCGCCGATATCGAGACCGTCCGAAAATGTTCGTTCCTCTTCGTTTTCCTTAATTTCTAGACTTTCTTAGCTCCTGTTGATGTTATCTGGTTTGATTTAGGGCTCTCGATTATTATATTTCCTTGATTTTTCTATTGGAGGCTTTGAGGTGCGATTTGATTGAGCTTCATGCCTTTGGGGTTATTGTGATTTCTGATCAGGGATGTATTCGTTGTCAACTGAAATTTCCGATATCTGTATTGCTGATTTAGTTGTTGCTCATGTTAGGTCGATAATTTCTACTGGTTTGATTCTGGCTGTTGAATCTTGTTGTGTCTATGTGTAATTTCTAGTTATTGCTTCCATCTAACATTGATTTTGTGTGTGTGTGTGTTTGTTGGGTTTAGTCAATGCTGGAACCAACAAGGCGGCATCAAGCGGCACATCTCTGAACACCAAAAGGCTTGATGATGACACTGAGAACCTTACTCGTAAGTCTTATCTTTCTTTAATCATTTGCTTTTACTAATGGTGAATTGATTTCCTTAGTGGTTAGAATATGGTAATGTCAGGCTCTGTAAATGTGTTCATTTCTTGATTCAAAGTGGCTCACGAATTGGAAAACTGTTCTTACATGAGTAGAGTTTGTCTATCTTTCTGCATGAGTCGTTGATGGTTATAGTGAGAGGAACTTTTTATTGATTGATGTGTATTGGATGCTAAAGCTTCATGTATTGAATATTGCAATTGTGAATTCAGATGAACGTGTGCCTACTGAGCTAAAGAAAGCCATCATGCAAGCCCGAACAGACAAGAAGTTAACCCAGTCCCAACTTGCTCAAGTATTTAACTGCTATCTCTTTATCTCCTATTACTACCCTTTGTATGTCCTCAGTTCATGACAAAACAAACACTTGTTTGTTTCTTTTTGTGTAGATCATCAATGAGAAGCCACAAGTGATTCAAGAGTATGAGTCTGGCAAAGCAATCCCGAACCAGCAAATCCTTTCTAAGCTGGAGAGAGCACTTGGAGCTAAACTTCGTGGAAAGAAGTGAGCCAATTTCTACTGATGTAGTAAGTAACAAGCATCAATGCTTTCATCTAATGTCCTAACTTTGCGAAGAAGAATCTTTTTCTGATGTAAGAAAGCAAAACCGTTTGAATGTTTGTTTGGTTGATGGAATCACTCATCTCATAAACTCATATCAATATAAATAACTCGGGTCTTTTCATCACACAGTTGAACTTCTTATTGTTGATTTAAGATGAACTTAAAACAAATAATACAGAAATACAGCTTAGAATTCAGGTACAGGTTCTTCTTCAACTGGAGCAAGAACCCATTCACCATCTTCGTTCTTGATCAGTCCTTTGTTCTTCTCTACCCACCAAGATCCGGGCACCAAACACTCATCTTTCAAGAACTCGCATGACTTGTTTACTAAAGCAATACTTCTCTTCACCATCAGTTTAAACTCTCCCTTCTTCCCATTCCATCCCGCAACAATATGGAGCATTGCCTGCACATACATAAAAATGAGTTTCTACTCTGTATCGTTGTTGTCAAAATTGAAAGATTTTCCTGACAGATTCTCACCTGAAGATTATGCCAATCCCCCGGATTCCTTGATTCTTTCAGGAACGGTGACTTCTTTGTATCGATAACAAAGTTGGTTCCCATGTCCACATACCCCAAAAGTCCCCCTGGATATCGAGTTAAGAGATCAATCGTGTTCCTTACATGTAGGATCTTTAAGTTCTTGTGACGCATTACTTCGTCTCTGAACTCCTTGTTTCCTACCTGTGGACAACCAAAGACTATAGCAGTGACCGGAACATCATCACTGGAACCGTTCTCAGCTATATCATAGGCGGCGAGAACAGCCTCTGTAGCTCCCAAGCTGTGTCCAGTCAACACAATGCTCGGTTTCTCGTCCTTATACTTCAATAGAAGCTCCTTAATCTTAGCTAACAACTGTGACCGTAGACTCAGCTTGGTGAATTTCGATTCGGGGTGATTAGATGTATAGATAGTGAGCCACCCGAGCATCACCTTACACCCTTCTTCATCTTCACTGTCACTATCAAAAGTCGTACCTTCAACCACACCAGCAGAACCATCCTGCTCTGGCCCGTGCAGCAACGGGTCAGCTGAAGTGGGCCTAGCACCCAAAACATTGACCCACTCATAGTTCCTGCTGGTTCCTCTCATAGCTATATAGATCTCACGGCGTCCTAAAGCCTTAGTCCGTTCATCAGACGTGACAGCAATGTAGCCAAACCAGTTAGACTCACGGTCCCAAGAATCTCGTGATTGTGATTGGAGGAGCAAACCTTCAGGGAGAGAGACACGAGCTGTGGCGTAGAGGAAGTTTGCAACCTCGTAGGCAGAAGCGGATTCGAGCATGACCTTGTCGAAGAAAGAAGATTTGCCGTAGCGGCTGGCTCCACAGTACTTGGAGTTTTGGTCGTTGACGAAAGCATCGTAGGTGGCTTGACAAAAGTCGCCACAACGGAGAATGAGTTCGCGAAGTGATTGGTCTAGTGGGTCTAAGAGAGTGTCCCAATTCTTTGAGCCTAAGAGCTCTTCCCATGATGTTGTTGTAGCCATTTGAGAGAAATGGTGTGTAATAAGTGACTCTTGACTCCTGGGTATATAACAAAATTGTTTTTTTTTTTTAATACTTTATACAAGTGGTTGTGGTGATGATGGTGTCTGACCCACTTATGTCCATAGCGATAAAAGGTTATCCATGGTGTGGGATTATTATTGGCATATAGTATATCACAAACTTCCACATCATTCTCAAATCTCAACCATACACAGAGAGTAAAAATCAACCCAATTAATCAAATAGAGAAAAGAAAATTCAACAAATCAATAGAGACACACGAAAGACACAAATTGTTTGTTAATCAAACTCGACGACGGGCTTGTCTTCGTCGTCGGGAGTGGCCATGACCCAATCACCTCCCTCGGTCTTGAGCATGCCTTTGTTTTTCTCGACCCACCAACATTCGGGAACTAAACATTCTTCTTTCAATAGTGCACATGATTTGTTAACCAATGCTATGTTTCGGTTCACTTTCATCTCAAATTTCCCGTTCTTCCCGTTCCATCCCGCTACTACATGTAACATCGCCTGCATCCACCCAAACCATAACCGTTAACACCAATTTCGGTTCTACTTACATTGGTGGTTTCAAACGACATTATTATTATTTTTTTTTTTTGCATATTTAAACAAATTAACGAAAAGTTTCAGATTTCTAAAAACCTTAAATTATATCACTAGAGTTGCAAAATGTAAATGCAGACAAAAGTTTCTTATATTACATTTAGAACTAGCTTGAATTTTGTTTAAGATTTGACATAAATTAAGCACAATAGGAAAAAAAAAAAAAAAAAAACAAAACAAATAAGCACAATACAATAGAATGACTTGCCTGTAGATTATGCCAATCACCGGGATGATGGGTTTCCTTAAGAAAAGGTGAAACTCTCGAATCGATTTTGAGTTTGGTCCCAATGTTGACGTACCCCATTATCTTAGCTGGATATCGAGTGATGAGATCAATTTCATTTTTCACGTGCAATATCCTAACATTGTTATGTCCCTTGATTCTGTCCCAGAATTCTCTGTTGCCAACTCTCGGAGAACCAAAAACAATAGCCGTCACAGGCGGCACGTTGCCATAACCGCTTGTAACGTTTTCCCCAATATCAAATGCTGCGAGTGTCGCGATTGTGGCACCTAGACTGTGTCCAGTGAACACTATGCTAGGGTTCTCGTCCTTGTATATCTCTAGCAATTCTTTTATCTATTAATTCATACCAAGTTAATCATAGCATATACTTAAATCAAACAAATTGAATCGAATCTAAATTATTTCCTAATAAATATTTGATAACGTTAATTTGGATTCGAGCCATATCACAAAAATCTGAAAATGATGAATCTCTAACGATCAATTTAATTTTAAATTTTCACTACCTTGGTAAGAAGCTGCGAACGTGCACTCATCTTGGTGAAAGGTGAGTTTGGATTAGCCGTCGTATAAATAGTGAACCATCCAAGCATAACCTCAGGACCATCTCCACCGTCCATCAACAGTTCTTTAACCGAAGTCAACTTCGCACCCATCACATTAACCCACTCGTAATTCCTCGTCGTCCCACGAAACACAACATATATCTCTCTCCTCCCAATCTCAGCCGTCCGCTCATCAGACGTGACCGCGATGTAACCGATCCAATTAGTCTCGCGGTCCCAAGATTCACGAGACATGGAGCTGAGGAAGAAGGCTTCGTGGTCGCTGACACGAGCCGTAGCGTAAAGGAACGAAACGACTTCGTAGTGTCTAGCATCATCGAGCATGACTTTGTGGAAGAACGATGGTTTGCCGTAACGGCTGGCTCCACAGTAGATGGAGTTTTGGTCGTTGATGAAAGTGTCGTAAGTGGCTTGACAGAAGTCGCCGGTTCGAAGGATGAGTTGGCGAAGTGAGTGGTCAAGTGGTTCCAATATGTTTTGCCAATTGTCTCGACCGAGAAGCTCTTCCCATGTTGGCTCGACCATGATTGATGGTAATGATTTGATTGTGTGAATGTTGTGTGTGTAACTTAACGCATTTGAGATTTGCTTATATATAATCGTGAGAGACTAAAAAAAAAAAAAAAAAAAAAAAAATCGTGAGAGACACTTTTAAATTTATTTGGATAATGAAGTTATGAACTAATCTTATATGCCGTAGAATATGCTAGTGTTCATTAGTAAACTGGTCAACTCCAAATATTAAATTTAAATCCAGTTGCTATTCAAAGTTTATATGTTTTTCCGTTGAGAATAATTCAAATTTGGAAGGAAATATTAATAACTACATATAGGATTTATATTTACCTTTTGATTTTTAAATGTGATTAGGACATCGATATGCTATATTTTTCTTCTCTAATTTTAGTGTTATGGCCCATGTTCAATCAGAGATCACTTAAGAGCCCAAATAAGCCCAACATCATACGAACGATATCAAGCTAAGACGATGCTCGTCGTCGGTGAGATATCCCATCGTCTTAGCTTGATATCCCGGCGAAGCGAGATCAGTGTTTCTCCGGTGGTTCAGGCATTAGTCTGATTGAGACAGCACATCTCATAGTATTTTGATTCTAGCTGGAGATTTCAGTCGATCAATTTCTCGTACTAGAACTCACGATAAACTGTAGCTGAGAGCAATGGCTCTGATCGATGTCGCAATATCTTGTCTCAATTCGATCCGCGAAGTAAGAAATCCGAATTCACCTTTTTTCTGTGGTCTCATCTTGTTATCCGTTTTGATCTGCGCCACCTTAATCATTACGATCTTATTTTGCTCCTTTTTTTGTGTTCTTGGGAAATGTTAAAGTACCTTATCGTAATACTCAAGAGTAATTGATTCTTGAAATGTTTGTTTTGTAGATAGAAGAGGATGTTAAAGATGCCATTGTGTATATCGATGCTGGCTGCACAGAATGTTTTCAATTTGTAGGAGCTTTCCCTTTGTTCTTGGAGCTAGGTGCTCGAGCAGTCTGCAGTCTTGAAAATATGACTTCCCTAGACGCGGTAAGCTCGTTACGGTTTTAATTTTGTGCGTGCAAAATGCTGGTTTAGAAAGATGGGATCAATCTATGTTTAGTGTTGGTAATTGAGGATCTAGATTAAGAATGGGAAGATTGTTATTCATGCTGCAATGGGAAGACTGAATTCTATTTCCATTGATTTTACTGTTACTATTGTATGCTCGAGTTTGGATTGCTTGGCATACTACTTAGATTGTCTTTCTGAAGTTATCCTTCTTTATTTCTTGTAATGATTCTGTTTGATATCTTCGATTCATACTTTTGGTAAAAAGATCCTAGAAAGTGAGATATCTTCTGATTTCTGGTATATGATGTGACTTTTGATGCTTGTTTTTTGCTATAGGTGGCTGATTGGAATTCAAAGACTGATTGTGCAAAGAGAATTGTGATTATGACATCTCGGCTTCTCAATGATGCTCATCGATATATGCTACGGTGTCTAAGCACCCATGAAGGTGTTCAACACTGCACCGTATTCACGTCTATTTCTGAGGTGCTCTTTTTAAACGCTATCCTTGGTCTCATTCTTTTATTTCTTTTTTTTTTCCGGACAATCATATTCGCATTTTTAATTTCTAGAACAATCACAAGCTATTTGACTTATCAACACTACTGGTTGTTG